CGATTCGCGATTTGGAAACGACCGTGTGATTGTCTAACGAGATTTAACTGCAATTGCTGCAAAATAATGCATAAACAGAGCTGGGCAGTGATTACTTTGCAATTGATTTGCGACTAGAAAAATGATTTAAAATGAAATAATAAACATTTTGCCCAACGCTGTGGGTGAACGGTAACGAAACGTCTAGGCCTGGGGTGGTGAGACAAACGAACGTTCGCGATGTCTTTTATTGTACGCTTGGAGGATGCAACCACGAGCAGTTATGCAAGAAAAGTTATGCAACTTCCAAGAATGAACGGACGTTTTTATATCATATCTCGCACGGACTGTACGATTCGAAGTGTTTCCGGTAAAATGGAAAGTCTCTTCGCCGTCTGTTTTGGACCCGTACGAATTCGGGTGTTGCATAAAATATTGAAATATTCAACGACAATAATCGTTTCACGAGGCGTTTGGTCCGTATCCGCGTAAACGGTCTCTTCGACGTTCTCGTCGAATAACCGTTCGTTCGCGGTAGAGTTCGATAAAATTTCCCTGTACAAATATATCGTATAATGTATACTCTCGATAATCGGCGACATCTGTAACTGTGCGATAGACTCTTGAGGTAACGAAAATTGTCGTTGTAAACGAAACAGGCGCGCCTCATTCGTAGCCTCGTCGCTATTTGTAGGCCAGCTTTCGATTCGCGATGAAGCGACAACGTACGAGTCGCGCGTTCGTGGATTGATTTTAGCATCGAAACGATCTACTAGTCACATTTAATTTACAATTTTCTCTACGCATACGCACACCTATTACTTCATAGTATACACATACATTCAAACATTTATACGTTTAGACACCGAATACGTAAACGCGCAACGTGCGTCGTACCGACTACGAAACGAAACCGTCTCGAGTAAAACGAGACTCTCGCTTCCCGTAGTTTGATTTAAAAAGTGTTCGCGGTGCTCCGTAAAAATAAAAAAATTTGCGAGTGAGAGTGAATCCGTCACGTGAGATTCCAGAGACACCGAGGAGTCTCGAAACCGAATTCGTAAGAAAAAAGCTTGATATAGCTCGTCCGTTTAGGTCCCAAGTTACTTAAATTCGTGTAATGATTCTCGAGGGTTCGCGTGTTTACAAGTACGATTCCGAGAATTCAAAGTCGGAGACCGAAGCTCGAGATGATCGCGTATAAACAGAAATGCCCCCACCGATTGCGCTGTCCGAGGTGCCCTCGCCGGTGACAAAATCGGCCACTATCAGCGAGTCCTTGGGGATGTTGACGCCGCCCCCGCCTTTCGATGCGTCCCGCTCGGCCAACATCTGCTTCAAGATTTTAATCTTTTCCTCTTTCTGGAAAAGAAGACAACGACGGCCGTTATTAACAACGAGAAAATCCGATTACCTCGGATTCGGATCCGAAGATTCACCCTCGATCCGAAGATCGGAGAGCTTCCTCACCGCGGCGATAAGTTTCTGAAGCTCGTCGTTCTCCCTGAGAAGCTTTTGATACTTCTCCTCGTCCTCCTTTGACACACCCACGTCCGGATTGTACTTGGACTCGGCTTTGTCTTTGGGATGTCTGATCACTTCGATCATTTTCGGCACAAAGATCAACGCCATGCTCAAGAAACAACAAAAAATGATGGCGAGCGCGACGAAAGCAAAGCTGGCGTCCTGCTGGCTGGCGATGACCATCGTCACCGGTGCTGTGATCACGCACAGTATGACCACGTTGTATATCGACATCCCGACGTATCTGGAATCATTGATCTGTTTAACTTTGATGCTCCTCGTCTCGTAAGCCAAGAACAACCCGAACACCAGGATGATCCCCTTGTAACTGTACATCAAACCTGGAAAAAAGGGACGAATCGAGTTATTCGCCAAGGAAGAGTAGCCGAGCGCCGTCGAATAGATTGGTAATAGAAACGATGAAACATTTCGAGTCGGTAAACTCACCAAGCCAAACGTTATTGTGCACGCTTTCGCAGTGTTCGAGTTCGGGTCTGATTCGCGCGTCGTCGTCGCCAAACGGAGACGATTCCAGCGGGAAAGTCTCGATCTTTCTTTGCAGTGGATCGAGCACCTGCCAGGAGACCAGGAGCACCATGTCCACCGCCAACAACCCACTTACCATCGTGTACAGCTTCCACGGCTGAATTTTCTTCTGTATGGACGAAACTTTTTGTTTAGCCATGAACAACTAAAAAGAATCGAGAATACGTTAAAGATCGGGGTCGTACGAGCGGGATCTGCGAACCATGCAGGGGCGGTGCAGACTGCGTGTGAGAGAGACTAGAAAACAGTAGCCACACGTGATTAATCGTCGAATAGATACGGCTAAAGCGATATATGCGATTGAAAGACGGGGGCACCGGTCGTTCGGTCTTACCTTCGCCTGATCGGCTTTCGTTTTCGTCGTAAGTCTATGGACTCGCCACACTTTGCTAAACATCGCCCCGAACGCTAAGGTGAAACCAGTGGACAACATCCATGCTCTCGCTTGGCAGACCGCTGGATACTCCCATTCCGACACGAATCTACCATCGATACCCAAAAGAAACACCGAGACGAAGCACGCTATCACCCCAACCAGCATTATCGTGTTGCACACGGGATGCGACGATTTAATCACGCTGAAAATAACAGGCGTAAATACGTTGAAACGCGCGGTTAACGAGAAGAAACGACGAACGGACATCGAATGATAGGTAAAAAATCTAACGGAACAACGGAAAATACCTTCTATGCCTGTTCCAGATATTAAAAATAATCAGTCCCATGGCTATCACGATCCCCAACGACGATATAGTCCCCATGCATATAAACAAGGGCAGCGAGACCGTCCTCAAGACGGTCCTCACGATGGTTCTGTCTTGCGGTACCTTGCCGCCGATCCATCTTTCCATGTTCCTCCAAGTCAGATTGTCGCTTTGCGTGTCGTAGTATCCTAACTTGACGTACTTTCCATCGATTACTTGCTCGATTTGGGTCAACGCAATTCTGTCACCTTGCGAGCTGAACGCAACGTACCCCTATAGCACGGAAAATCGATCAAGGATCCGCCACGCGAAACAAAGCTTCCGTTCTATTTATTCGCGACACCTACGGAGACACCCAGGAATTGAGTTGAATTGATGGCGGCGTAAATTTCGTCGGCTATCTCTTCGTCGATGTACGTAAAGTTCTTCAAGCTGTTTCCTTGCTTGCTCAGCTTCTCCATCGTTTTGTTAAAAGCTGCGATCAGAAAATAATTCGTTCAATAGGCGAAATCCTTTCTGCGATTGATTCTCGCTAAAGATAAATGGATTTTTTACCTAACGCGACGGACCAAACCGCGTCGTAAGCGAGAGGCGCCTCCTGATACCCCTCCGGATACCGTTTGTTGTCGATGTCGTAGCCGTCTTCTTTCAGCATTTTGTTCAACCTCTGTCTAAAGTCCTCGGACGTCATCCCGCTGATCGTCGTGTCGTTATTCTGGTTCCACATGAGCGCCTCCGTCGTCAAGTGACCTTCCGCAGCCTGTCTCATCTCGTCCTTGGTGCAAGTGATCCCTTCCTTGTCCAAATTCACCTCGAACCAATTGTCCTCGTACCATCCGATGAAAAACCACACGTAACTCTTGCCGTAGAGGTTCTGGTGATAAAGCTCGCAGAGAACTCTTCTCGCGGCCACGACGTAAAACAGACCGACGATTATTCTCGCGTCCTGGCGACGGAGATTCCTCACCGCGTCGGATGGGTCCGACAGGAAGCTCTGGCGGGTCACTATTTCTATGCCTGCCTCTTTGCAGCGCGCTTCTAAATCTTCTACGGTCTGTCGAACAATGCCCAAGTCAGTTTATTTCGTTCGCGAAACGTAACGCGTTCTGCTATCGCCAGAGGAGATCGGTCTTACGGATATGAACACTTCTTCGGCTTGCTGCAAAATCGCCACTCGAGACCAACCGAACTTCTGCAACAGTTTGATTCTCGTGGGATTGTGGACCGTGGCCGATGGGTGGGTCCTGAAGAGGGTCGGGAACCTATTTCGATCGGACAACGCCGGCGACGATGCGCCGTAACATAACTGAAAACATTCAAAGATATCGTCCTCGTCTTGGCGCATCTTCGAACCGTAAAGAGTCTTTGTCGATACCTACCACCACCAGGTTCCACATTTTCGCCGCCTCGGCAACGGTTGTGCAGACCGTGCTGCATCCAGCCAACAGCATCAGTTTGTGCGGCTTTGAGTATAACAAATTGTACATCACCGAGGCACCCAATCCCGGCTCGCACTGAAACGAAACATTTTCTATAGAATGCGCGTAGAAATATTTTACCAACTGTTCGTCGACGTACCTCGCTATCGTTCGAGTGGAGCTTGAGCGTGAAACCAGGTAGCAAGTTCTTCTCGCGGTTGACATCGTCCAAGGCCAGATTTACGGCTGGCATGCAAGCCTGTTAAACAAGATACGAGTTTCTACCCATCGTAAGGCTCGCGAGAAATAGATAATTAATCCGAACGTGGCGTGTGTTTTTAAAACGCGCAGAAAATGAAAGCGAACGATCGTTACTCACCTGGCCACCCTGCCACCCGCCCTCCCCCGCTATCGGGAATATGCCACCGATGTGCAACACATTGTCCCCGTCGTCGGGAGGTAACGAACCCTCGATCGCGCCCGTCGACGTTAGGATTATTATTAAAAGCTCCAGCATCGCGGTGCTCGAGAGACTCTTTCGCGTAGCTGTGTGCAAAGCCTTGGAAACACTTTTTCCTTTTTCCTTTTCGCCTACGACACACCCCAACGGTGTGGCGATGAAAATCGCACTTCCCTTACGTGACTCCCAGCCATCGTCGTCGAACACTGGCCGCTCTCCAAAGCGACAATCACCGATTCGTGGACCGACGAATTCTCGCGTCGAGCCAGCAACCTGCTCGACGGGGAACGATCCCGGTTTGGTAAACCTCGCGAGAATTCGCAACGTTTAAAATCGCGTCTTCGCGTTCTCCATCGTTTACCGGGTCTCTACGCTTCGTTACGCGCGCGCGACACCCCGCGAATTTACCCTGCGAATGGATCGTACGAGGACGCAGGTCCGAATCTACCATCCAAGTAACAAAGCTTTGGCTCTTCGCGCAACAGGAGCCCCATATGTTTTACACTTCTTCCTCGCGTACTACTCTTTTTACAACTCGTAAAATTCGGCCAGATGATTCGTTTGCATTTTTCTATACTTTTTAGTTATTTCGCTATTCGTGTATTCCAAAATTGAATACCTCGGAAATCAAAGAGAAAAGTAACGAGAAAATGATAACGGAAGGATAGATGTATCTTTGTAGCGATGATATTTTACGTTCGTAGAATGTTTCAGAGAAAAAAGTTCCTCGAAAGAATTAGCTTAAGGCTCTGCAACGTCTAGATCCACTATTGCGAGGACGAAGCGCGTTCGCGCAAGTTTCCTATTGATTTCAACCCGGCTAGCGAGGACCATAGAGGGGATGGACGGCTCTGTCCTCTAAATTTCTACCACAAAATCAATATACAGACTGTTTCAAAGCATAAATTATAATATTTAGAATTACATTTTTGTAAAATTAACGCTGTAGCGTTTCAACTTCTCGTTCCGCAACTTCAAGTGGAATAATTAACAACGAAGTGTAATTTTGTTAGCCTTGAATGAAGCAGCGTAATACTTGTTCCGAGCTCCACTGTTTGGGATAATTTATTATATTGTTATGCTGATTGTACATGGTATTGTCTTCCTTATTTTATAATTAGTTTTCTTTTTGAAATTTTCCCGGTATTTTCGCTCAAATAAATAGCCATCTAGTGGTGAATATACCGAACTAATTTTCGAAGTTTGGTCAGCGCCTCTATCGGGAAAACGCTCAAGTTTGTCCTCGATAGTTTCTTTTTTCACTGCTAGATGACGCCATTGTCAGTGTTTTTTTACCGACCAGTCGGTAGATTACCATATATCGGTAAAAAAAAAACACTGACAATGGCGCCATCTAACAGTGAAAAAAGGAACTATCGAGGACAAACTTGAGCGTTTTCCCGATAGAGGCGCTGACCAAACTCCGAAAATTAGTTCCACCCTTTCATCGCGAGATGGCAACGACAATGACAATTGTAGAACTTTTAGCATAATTACGTTGGCAGCATGTACGATAACGTTCAGATTGTTCAGATATCAGAGCATTCAGAACTCTGAGAATTTCCAGTGCGCGTTGAAAAAATGGTGGATGGTAGAAAGAGTTGTCCATTCGGTGTTATCGTTAAATTTGTCACATTTTAAAAGATCTTAGGCAAAACGGTATATCGTGACTGTCGATTTGTGAGCCGCAGAAGTGAAAATGGGTTCGAATAAACGTCATAAAACTGAGAAGAACCGGGACACGAAAAAGAAGCGTCATCGTAGCCGATCGCGAAGTTATACGCCTGAACGCGAAAAATCAGAAAAGCACAGACATCATAAAAAGCACAGAAGAAAAGAGCGCAAGGATTACGACAGCGATGGTTATTATCTGATTCGTTACTATTGTATTAGAGATCTATTGTCCGGTGGTACTCTCGGTGCTCCATGCTTCTCGTAAACCATTCTGTAGTGGCCTGTGTAGCGATCCATTCGCAGTTAGAAATCTGTAATTTATTTGTTTTGTTTCAGTTGAAATAGTTACAGCTCCTCCTCCACCAAAAATTTCCAAGTCTTCGCATCCATCGACGCCTCCGCCTCCTGAAATTTCCAAGCAACGGAGTCCGTCGCCGATCAAGGGTGGGACGGCGCAGACCTCTTTGTCAATCGAGGAGACAAATAAATTACGAGCAAAGTTAGGTTTAAAACCTTTGGAACTGGATAGTACTTCTAAAGATGACCCTAACAAGATTAAAGACGATCTGGGAGAATTTTACCATAAGCCTGCTCCAGATGTTAATGAAAAGATAAAGACCCAGAAGTTGAAAGAAAAAATTGGTCTTCAGAAACAGAAAAGACAAATTGAAGCCAGTCTATCCAAAGTAAAAGGTTTGGCTGAATGTGATTCCGATGATGATGCTAAGACTTGGATTGATAAAAGCAGACGTCTGGATCAGGAGAAGAAAAAGGCTGAAGAAAGGGTAACAACATTCTCTAGAATATTGAAATGTTTGCTTTAAATAATGGGAATGAATATTCTAATGTTTTATATCTTTGTTTAAGGCAAAAATGTTGGATCAACTAGATGAGGAATTTGGAATTGGTAATTTGGTCAAAGAAGAAATACATACAGCTCGTAAAACAGCTTATACAGAAAAGAATTTAAAAGGTCTCAAAGTAGAACATAATATTGTAAGTAATTGTATTGGTAATATTTTTCAATAGCTATGGAGTAACTGTGCAAGTTTATTGAAATGGTGATAATATATGTTTATACGTATAATAGGAAAAGTTTGAAGAAGGTAAAACAGTTATTTTAACACTGAAAGATCAAGCTGTATTAGACGAGAGCGGAGATGTACTCGTCAATGTAAACATAACGGACGAGGAACGTTACCAACGTAATATCTTAAATAAAGCTAAAAAGCCGGGTTACGATGCATACGACGATGATAATTTCGATCAGTTTGGTTTTCCAAAGAATTCTATTTTGGAAAAGTACGATGAAGAGATCGAGGGGGAGAAAAAAGATAATTTCGTATTAGGAGTTAATATGAAAGATGCCAGACAATCTAAACTCGATCACGTTAAACAATGTTTGGCAAATAAACGATTAGAATCATTGCACTTAGCGGAGCCAAAACTAGCTAGCGAATATTACAATGACGAAGAACTCGCAACGTTTAAGAAACCAAAGAAAAAGGTAAGTTTAAAAACATAATGTCGACATTTATAAAACTGTGTTAATATTTTTTCATTTTGCAGATTCGAAAAATTAGAAAGAAACTAAAAGCGGACGACTTAATTCCCGAAGGTAACGATTATCTTCGAGATCTTGGAAGCAGAAGAAGCAAACGACCCGACGACGCGAAAGAAAATGATAATTTAGATGTAGATGATTTAGGAGCTCCTACCGAGGACCTTAGCGAAGTGAAACTGGAAGAAGATGACAAAGAACTAGAATTGCAATTAGCATTGAAGAAAGCTCAACGCTTAAAGGAATCGCAATTGTCGAGCATAGAACAAGTTGTTGAAACTATAAAACATGAACCCACATCTTCAGAAGAAAATCAATCTGGGTACATAGTTCTTAATGCTACCGCAGAATTTTGCAGAACATTGGGAGACATACCTACTTATGGTCTTGCTGGAAATAGAGAAGAGAATGGCCAGGAACTCATGGTATTGAACGTTCTTATTATTGTTTCTCTGTCTAATATTCTGTCTAACATTCTGTTGCGATTAAAATTATAGGACTTCGAAATTGACGGTGTTAAGGAGGAACCACCGGCGAATGAAGAAGAAGACGATGGTCGTGGCGCATGGAATACAGTCCAATTAGGTATCCGCAATATACATTTACACTGGTTTTTTCAGTTGAAATCATATCTGAATGAAACGCTTTAACCTGCCATACTGTTTAGATGAGAGCACGTCGGAACCCGTGGCGATGGAAGCTGCAATTCTAGACGCAGAGCCTTCGCTTGGACATGGCGTTAGCGGTGCGTTAAAACTCGCAATGAGCAAAGGCTATTTGCAAAAAGAAGACAGTAGCCGGCCGTCTGCGTCACGATTTGCTCACTTACAGGCTCAGAACTACTCGATAGAAGATAAAACATACGGGTATGTATCGAGTATGTATAACTACCATTCAATAGAAGAAGCTTTCTTACACATTCGGGAGTGACTTCGCACAATGTTATTTCAAGAATACCCTTGTCTACCGCAAACGGTCATAAGAAATATTCTTCTATTGAATGCATTCCAAGCGAATCTTGTTAGACGAGTTATTAGTGAATTTCAAACTGTTAGTTAACAGTTTTAAATAGAGCCCGGGTTTCGGTGCTTGGAAATGGACGATCCGCTACCGCTACAAGAGTTAACTACTTTGTCGGAGATGATCGAGGCCTGAAAAAGAGGATTTATTGAGGTATGTTTATATTATGCGATTCTATTGGTGCCAAGCGAGATTTCTACGAACGTTCTAGACAAGTCCAGTGTGGATCGAAATCACATTCGTTTAATTAGTAAGAAACTTCTATGCCTCGCGTATCGTTAATATATAGTTTGTTTCACAAGATGATCTAAAAATAATCGAACACTTGTAAGAATGCTATTACTCTATAGCTAGGTTATGTACGAACATGGGGCACAAAAATAAACTTTAAAGTACCCGTTATATTTCGCAATTTTATTTCATTTTATTAATTATTTGTTTATATATAATCTAGTTACGGAGTATGTATTTTTCAATCATGTTGCGAATCATTTTGCATGTTTCGATGAGTGGAATATGGTATGAAACGATTTTTAGGATAAGGGTCTTCCATATTGCTTTTAATTGATACCTTTTTTAGTATTTACAAATAATATTACGTATTAGATATTTTTTCCTTATTTTTCTTAAAAAAAATAACGACATATATGCAACGTAAGAAATGCATAAACAGTTTGAAATTAATCATGTTACATACGATTACAGATTTAATTTTCGTAATTATATTGACTTGTTTAGATTCGTGTTGTTCTAATCGCATAATGTAATGTATCTTGAAATCGCAACCGTCTGCTATCCAATATTATATATTTTCAGATAATGACTATTCGCGGTAACGTAAATTTCGAAACACCGAATTCCATGGGCTGCTATATATAATTTCTCTAGCTAAAGAGAAAGTCTATTTTATCCATCGCATGCGCTGAATCGATGACTTCATCCACTGTTACTTTTTTTTCCAGAGACGATGACAAGTTCGGTAGAAGAGATCGTTTTAACGGCCCAACCTCTGAATTTAAGGAGAAAGATGGTTTTAAACCGAACGTAAAATTAGAATACATCGACGACGATGGACACGTTCTGAGTGCGAAAGAAGCTTTTCGATATCTTTCTCACAAGTTCCATGGGAAAGGTCCAGGAAAAAATAAGGTTAAACCTAGAAAAAAATAATCATCTCTTTTACATTTTTTTTGGATGCTTAAACTAGCGTAATATTCTTCAAGCTCCGAAGACTTGTACTTTATATATCGCTTATATACGCTTTTCAGGTCGAAAAACGAATGAAAAAGGCTGAACAGGAAGTATTAATGAAACGGATGTCCTCCACGGATACACCCCTGGGTACGCTTAATTTACTGCAGGCGAAACAAAAGGAAACTCAGTCTCCGTATATAGTGCTCAGTGGTAGCAAGCAAATGCAAACGTAAGCGACCTTTATTCATTCCAACTGATAAATTTAAATTGTTGTCATATAAAAATCATGATTATTTTTTTCCAGGACTAGTATATCGAAATCAAAGCATTAAAGATTATAAAGCTAACTTTAATGAAAATTGTATATAATATACAGACGGAAGAAAATCTCTTATCAGCACATGTTTGAAACAGAACAGTACGTTAATCGTTCAAAAATAAAACAATTGCACATGTTTTGATTTGCTAATCTACATACAGGATAATAAAATAACATTCACGAGAATTTATAAAAGAGGTTAATCTCTTTTACGTCCTTCCATTTTTTTTTTTTTTTTTTTAACGCACATTTGCGTTGGATAATGCACGTGTGTATGAAAATCAAGCTGGAGTAATTGGCAACTTAAGTTTTGAAAATGCTACGTTATTAATAGAAATTTGGGGATGGTCACCTGAGATATGAAATTTTCAGTACAGTTGTCAGAGAAAATTGTGTAAATTTCCTCGATATATACAAAGTAGTACAAATTCATGTTCCGTTACTTCTTTTTTATGACAATATCTTGTATACTTATTCAAAATATCTTATTTTATGGAAGTACATTTACTGCTATCACAATAAAATTAAGAGGAGAACAAACGACGGCCATGACTACATCTATGCTAACAATAGTAACACGATCGTAAAGTCTACAAATATTTCAACACGACAATTACACATTTATTTCCATATCCTTAATCGTAATTAGTTTTCAACATCTATCCGTACAAATCACTACTCGGAAGATATAAATTCGAATACTACAAAATATTTTATTGTTTTAACGATCACTATATAAACATCTGCTGAACATTCTTCATTTTCGTACTTTTGATTATTATGAATTGGTATTATTTTGAGTTGAAAATATGTTGTCTTGTCGAATGAACTGTCAATGAAATGTTTCATAACATTCACCACCGACAGTGTTGAGTATTTTTATAACCTATCAGCATCGCGATTTTGTGTCGAGAAATGGTAACGATTCGTGACTATAAGAATGCTGAATAACATTACATACATCCCTGATATCACAAGGCTTTACTTTGTGCAAAAATAGTAATACTTGATTCTTCGAATCTTATAAAGTGCACAAAAGCCTGTAAATTATATTTTATAAATATGCGTCTCCAATTATACACGATATAGCTACACGTTCTGTGATAATTATTTAAGACTTGCTTTTGTCTACTTGCTATTCACAATTCTTTACTTTTGGAAAGTTTGGCACTTCTCTCAACGGTTCAGGCAAAAGTAATAGAAATTTTTTTTAGTTTAGAAACAATCTTGTTGAGGCAATGATATATCTTCTTTTGTTAGGTAGGAAATTTACGCCTTAAGAGAAAGTGGAGTCAATTTATTTTTTATTTCTAGAACGGTATTTTTGTTGACAAACAAAAATATCGGATCATTCTACACTAATAACAGAAAATATATCATTAATCGAACAAACCGAGTTTATTCTATACTCAACGTTTATTTCTTAAACAAATTCCTATTATTTTTGCACACAACCTACTATACATTCTGATACTTATTTTAACTTACGGATATGACTGTGTTTGCCAGACTGTAAGAAATTTAGTTTGCACCAGTAACACATTAACCTTCGATACATTTTATACATTTTATACAGTTGTTTATAAAAATCCTATTACGTCACAGAGTTAAATAGAATCCAATATTTTTTGTGTTACCTCCGTTCAAAACAAATTCCTTATCGGCAACAAGTGTATGTACTATATTCATGTAAATGTTCCCTATTTTCTCCTACGAGTCAAAATTAACATAATCTATGCGAAATAGATACATACTTGTAATAAGTTCTAACTTATCCGACGACTTCCTCCTAATCATCTTTCTAATTCATTTTGTTACATATATGCGTACACTAAGATAATAACTTTTTTCATTATGTTTTTACCTATGAAACGTTGGATGTTTTCGTCGGAGTTATTTATTACATTGTCACTAAATAATTGTGCTGACTCGGCCACTATCTATTTATTTACTTCTTTTACAAACATTCAGATTCAAGGATGAAGCTTCGAAGAACGATTTCGAAAACTTCGTTAGCGGAAACACATCGATACGAGTTTCCCTACAAAATCCAACATTTCATATGCAATAACCTAATACGCACGGTAGACGTCCCAATCTTGGAACCTAAAATGACTTTGTTGCATTTAATGATACGAGACAATGCTTCATCGAACAGTTATTTGTTTTGAAGGGATAAATATTATGACGATAAAGATTCTTTGCTTGACGTCACATTTTTCGACATTTCACGGTTAGTGATTGTCCTTTTATTAAAATTATTTCATAAGAATAGTTCTTCATCGGGTCATTCGAAGTTCAACATGTCGACTGAATTTAACTTATTATTATAAAATCTATCACTTTATATTTAAACAAAAAATCCATAACCTTGAACTTTCGAAAAATATGACTTTGAGAAAGAGATCTTTATCGCAATATTTGCCCATTCGAAATAAATATGTTTTAAATATTTTCTTGTACCATCAAAAGCAACGGAAATATTTTAGGTTGCAGATTTAATCGACTCTACAATATATATGTATGTATGTTATAAATTGACTCTGTTTTCTCATTCTTTCTAATCCTCCACTCTTATTAAGGTATTAAATCATTGGTATAAGTATCATAAAAGGGAAGTGCGAGGTCCCGGCGTTTCGATCGACAATCCGCTAGGCAAACAGACGTTCGTTAAAAAATGAAAATCGATCATCGTATCAAAAGTGTGTACAAGAGATTAACGCGGTATGAAACACGTTATTAGTTTTTCGGGTATACTTTCCTTAAAGTTGTTATCTTCCAAGGTATCTTCCTTGAGCGTAACATCATAAACAATTGTTATCTGTTCAACGTCTCTACATTTTGGCTTTGAGCGTTCTTATTTACGGCGTCCTCTTGGCCACTCGGGCTTGGAAGTCGGGCCGGCTTAATCGATTTCAACTTCGTCGTGCCCCCATATTTGAAGTTCACGTCGCTACAAGTATCCAACGGATGCACGGTCCCCGACAGATTTGCCTCGTCGTCATCGGTTGTGGCTTCCAGTTTGGTGGTTGGTACTTTTTTCACTGATCCCAGCTCGTATGCGGACTTGGACGACTTTAGCTTCATTCGATTATTTAACGGCAGTGAAACCGACTTCTCCAAGTTCACAGCTTGGACCTTCAGGTGCTTATCGTTCTGTATGATTGGCTCCTCGGTCGAGTTCATCGTGTCAGTGATCTGAATGTCTATATTCACCGTCTTCGGATCGTTTTCGTCGTTCCTGACAATTTGTTCCGTCGAATATTCGTTCCTGAGAGCAGCCAATTGTGCTCGTTGCTTTTGTATATGGTTGTGCGAGTTAGAAAAGAACGACGAGACCCTCTCGAGCTTGGTCGCTAAATTCGGTTGACTTAACGTGGACTTAAGAGGATACGGTGTTTCTACTGCGATATTACTGTTCTTCATAAAATTGTGGGAATCTCTACCCGTGGAGTTACTTTTGATCATTGCAAACTTGTTGTTATCCTCTAACACTTTCAATGGATAGGATCTGCGTTCGCCGGAAACGTTTCTCCGTTTCTCGGCTAGAGTCAGCTGTGTGATTATTCGACGAATGTCGCCTGGAAGCTCGATATCTGGACGCGTGTCGGACAGTTGTTGAACAAACGCGCCCAACGTTGAAACGGTCACCTCCAGACTGCGATTTTGAGACTCGAGCTTGAGGAGAGTCGATTGCTGCATCGATCGCGCCGTTTCTAGACGATGGAAGTTACTCATGGTGATTTCAAGTTGTTCGCTAAGTTGCGCGACTTCTTGCGTCAACTGTTTGTTGATCACCTTCAGCTTCTCCATATTTTCTACTTGTGGCTTTACGACCATCATCTCTTCTTGCAATACTTGGTACTCCACTCTATATTCGTTCAATTGTTTTGTAATTTCTTGATCAGGATAAAATACACGTTTCATCACACGGTCCAAAATTTCTTTGTCTACTGCTGGTACCCGTGTCTAAAATTACGAAATAAACGTGATTAAAACTTGAACATTTTTTCGAATTATTCATACGTATATAGAGAATTCGCCTTACTTTGAGATATTCCATGATTTCTTCAAAACTGTCACAGATCAGTAATTGATCTTGATGGTCCTCCAGTAATGCCATTGACACGCGGAAAAGTACTTCCGTGCTCTCCAGGAAAAGTAAATCTATGAAAATGAATATGTAAAATAAATATTGGAATTTTTATATATAAATTTACATTGCACAGATAATAATATATATTTACCAAAAACTCTGGTTACAAAACCCAATGGAAACTGACTCGCGAATAAAGTCAGCAACCATGGGGCAGCATACAACGTGGGCGAAACGTCATGCTTATCAAAATGGTTATAAATCGCTGGTAACCTATCGTGTAGCAATCTAGACAATTGATATAAGTACAGCTGTAACGCAGCCATATCGGGAAGATACAGTTTCCTTAGGCCCCGTCGAAACATCAAGTGCCGCAGGAGGAAGAACGCTAGATCCTCTGACATCTGATTAACAAGAGTACAAAATCTCTCTTGGTAAAATTGTACTAAAGTTTAAAAAAGCAAAAAAACAAATGACAATACTTACGTGTAATAAAAGAACGCCAGCGACGAAACTGAGTCCTTGACAATAACCGACTTCGTGATCTAGAAGCGAGTAAGCTTTCAATAAATTGAACAATGCTAATTGTCCAGGCCCTAACGGTGAACTGAAATACGGATGATTTGGAAACGTTCGACCCAGATCGATCAGAATTGCGTGTTGTTGGGACGTAAGTTGCTTTAAAAGCAAGTCGTATGGTGTATTGTAGTTAGGAAAATCGCGTGTATCTATAGGTGGTTGCTTCAAACAAAATTGTTCAGCTAAGAATTGCCATACTTCTCCTCTTTTTCCTTTTGGTACACCTGTGTTAATGACAATTGACAGCGAGTTCAGTTTCGTTTCATTTAATTTTAACTTGTCCGCGATAACATAAGTAAACGCATCTTACCTTGTTTAATAGCATGTAAAAGCATTTGATTATCACATTTCGTCGAGACTCTCGATTCTTTACTGACCAGAAGATCCCATACTTCCATCAATTCGCGAGCACAACTGCTAAGTTCATCGTATTCCAACTTGATTCTCTTAACAGTTGCCTCTTCTTGGCGCACTAAAATAAAACATAGTCAAGTATATTAATCGATCAATTTACTTTCTT